GCTAATTATGCAGATAAGAACCTGCATTCCTCATTTATCCTGTCAGAGGGGCAGATTGCAGCCCCTAATGAAAGGAGAATAGGTGACCATCACCTGCATGGATGCAGCCTGCAGATACTAATCTCAGTGACAAGATCTTGAGGAGAAGCCAAGCCCTACAGCTTGGGTGCTCTGACTAACCGGCTTCCAGCTGGATGGAGAAATTCCTTCCCAGTTTCACACCAAATTGCACTTCCAGCCACCACGTGGGTGATGAATAACTGCTTGTTCCTGCTGTGCCTGCAGCAGGGCAGTGTTTTGGCCAGGTAACAAACTGAAGGGTCTGCAGGCTCTGCTGAGCTGGAAACGAGGGTGGCAGCTGATTCTGCTGCGTAGCTGAGCTCAGGTTTCCCAGCCCGAGTGTGACCGAGGGGCCCAGGGGGCCATTCGTGCCTTAATTTGATGAACAAAAAACCAAGCCAGTCCTGAGCAAAGCAGCGAAAGGCCCAACGTCCGTGCTGCCTCCCCACTGTTCAGCTGTGTGAGATGGCTTGAGCTTTCCTCACTTATAAAATACTTATAAAATGGGTCAGCAGAACCAAGGCTTGGGGTAAAAATCTGCTGAGTGCCCTTTCCCACTGCACGGTTGCCTATGTGTGGTATTGTGAATATGGTTTTTTTTTATGCCAGCGATTGCTCGGCTTGCCTGAGATTTGGAAGACCTGTTGGGAATCTAACTCAGACCAGATAAGCATTTAGGTGGAATGCAGAACAAAACAAAAAGGATCTGCCTTGGCGCAGTGGAAGGGAACCTGGAGGCTGGTGAGGGTTCAGCTCAGAAATCCCCTCACCCCTAGAGGTGGGAATGCTCTAAATGGTCCTTGGTGAGATGCAGAGTAGGCAGCAGCTCTGGGGAGTCTCCTGAGCTGACTGTAGAATGAAATGTGCTGTATCATTGTTGGGGCTGTTTTGCACCCTGCTGGCTCTGTCTTACTGCCAGGGTAAGGTAAAATTTCCTAGCAGTGAGCTCGTGTGCTCTGGTCAAAATGCACGTGTTCCTGTATCTGCTCTTTGCAAGAAGACCCTCCAACAGGCAGCAGCATCTGGAGTATGCAGGACACGTGCTCCCGACTCCGCGAAAAGAGAAGTGAAACCTTCCGGTTGTAAAGGGTTGGGTGGGTTTTAGTGGTGTTTTTTATTTCTTTACTTTCTATAACAGTTTCCCCCGGAGCAGTTCTCTGCTGTGGTATCCCCTTAGCTGGGGGACCCCATCCAGTGTGTGGCTGGAGCTGTTTCCAGCAGAGATTAATGGGATTGCCCGGGCTAAGGAGGCAGAGCCGTAATCTTGTCAGGTTTGTTCTGCTGCTTCGGAGGCGGCGCAGCCCAATGCTGCTCTTTTAGCTGCACTTCCCTTGCAGCAGCCCTCTGAAATATTCATACCTGGCTAGTACTCCCTCACTAATGACTCTCTTTTTCTGCCTCCGACAGTTTAATAGGCACAGCTGCCTTTTCAGCCCCGTCCCCTGCTTAATGGCATCAGCTTTGTGCTTGGGAATCGTGCAGCCCGCCCGCAGAGCTTGCTCACATGTGCCTTTGTCATTGGCCTGTTCTGTTGTTTTGGGGACAGCTTTGGGGCAGCGAGGTGGCTTGTGTGCCACGTGGGAGCTGCCTGAAATTTGTTATGTCCTAAATATATACTAGCTAAAGCAAGTGAGAGACGTCCTGCGCCTGAGATCAAAGGTGGAAGAGGTTTTACTGTGTGTTGGCTCCAGGATAAGCAGTTTTTAAGGGTGCACTTTTGGATTAGTATTGCTTAGACGATTAATAGCAATAGTGTCAGTACAACTCAGCTCTGCAGACCTGCTCTACCACAGAAGGAAGCAGAGTTGCAACGAGGTGGAAAGGCAGAACACGTATGTTTTGTTAGGATGTAGGTGTTGCCTGCAGTTACATGAAGGGAAAGGGTGAGGGGGAATAGGCACACATTGCAGCAGGAAAATTTTGAATTAGATATTGCAAAAAGACCTTCATAATGAGGATGGTCAGGCATTGGGTGGGAGTCCAGGGAGGTGGCAGGATCTCCATCCTTGGAAGTGCTGAGAACATGACAGAACACATCCCGGAGCAACCTGATCCAGTCGCTAAGTTGGATCTAACTTGGAATTTGGCCCTGTTTGCATTAGACCAGATGGCCTCCAATCTTCCCTTGCCACAAAACTATTCCCTGTTCCATGAAAGCAGTGCTGAGGTTTGTGACACCCTGCTGTCTGCTCTTGTGGGGGCTGACGTTTTGGCATTTCTGCATTATATTAAGTGTTTTGGTCTTTTCGGATGCTTTCCTGCTGGGCCTTTCCATCTTGTCCATAACGTCTCTTTTGTTCCAGGGCCAGGCCTGAAGTCTGCAGAAGCCCGAACCATGGAGTACTTGGAGGAAGTAGCAGTTGGCTTTGCCAGAGGACTCGCCAACAAGACTGTGTCTACCAAAAAACCCAAAGGATTAATTCAGAGTAAGTCTGTGGGTATCGTAGCCAGCTCCCAAGCGACTGTAATGCAACTTTCATCCTCAGGGGTTTGTCCATGCTCTTGCTGAATTCCAGCTTCAAAACAAAGTTCTTTCATGTTGTAAGAGTCTCTGGACCCAGCAGGGCTGATGGAGAGAGTGTCACTCTGCAGACCTGAGCTCCAGGTGACATTGGCAGAGCCGTGCACGGTGGCTCCTAGAGTCTATGAGGAGGGAGCCAGGCCTGGAGGAGCAAACAGCAACCCCTCTGCCCCAGAGAACTATCTTGCAGGCTTCAGTAGCAAGTTTTGTGCCAAGCTTGTGCAATCCACTGAGGAGAGGTGCAGAAACATACACTGCCGTGACCCTGCTTAGCAGAGCAGTTACACAGCTGACAGAGTCCAGAAATTACGACATCCCTCTCTGGAAGTTCTGCTCCTCGGGTCAGTCTTGGATTCTGTCACTCCCTACACTACGAGGATAGCTGAGCTCTAAAAGGAACGTGTCCTTGGAACGAGCCATAGAAATCCCTCTGCCCAGACCAGGGCCGGCTCTGTCTTAACTGGGTTCCAGGTGCACATTCCCACTGCAGATGTGCAGCATTCCCACCCTAGTCTTCAGCATTCAGGTCAGCCGTACACAGGCTGGTTGCGTGTTTAGGACCTTGCTGAGATTTGTTTTGTCCTGTTTGCAGAGGTAACGGATTATGCCATGGCTATTCCGCTTGTGAGGAAGCAGATCTACAAGACAGTGGAGAGCAGAGTTCGGAAGCAGACCAAAGGACTCTACCCTGCTCCACTAAAGATCATTGAGGTAACCTGTGCTGTGAGACATAGGAAACCACCCCAAAGGGGAAGCTCAGGATAACTTGGCAAACAAGAGGGGGAAGGTGGCTCCTTCATCTGGCTTGAATCCTACGTTATTTTACAAAAGATCAGGCTTGGTGAGTGCTAGGATGGAGCAAACGTTCAAATTCAGAGTAGCTTCCCAGAATCACCAGCAATCCATGTGCTACTGGCACCAATAAGGGACAGATCAGTGATCCTGAATGAGGGAATGCTGAGCTGGGATATTGGCTGATCTGGGAAACTTGCTGTGCTGCTTTCAGCTACAGTTTCTTCAGTTACTGATGAAATAATTAAGCTGTTTTAGCAAGGGAAGTTGTTGTTTTCATGAAGCACCCAAAACTGTGAAACTTAGTCCCCTCATTAACGCAGATATTGTATTGAAAACGTTGCCCAATGGCTGAATTATTTTAAAATGGCTTTTCACAGTCATTCACAGGTCTCTTAAAATCAGTGAACATCCCCTTCGGAACCGGCTGAATTATTTTAAAATGACTTTTCACGGTCTAAATTGTTGCCAAGAGGTCTCTAAAATCAGTGAACATCCCCTTCGGAACCTGGAAGCACAGTCCTGCTGGAACCCCTGCACATGCAAAGTGCTTTGCCACTGCAGCTCCTCTGTGCTAGAAGGACAAGATGGTTCCTAGATGGTTCCTAGAGCTGCTTTGAACAACTTTGGCAGGGCCCTGAGAGTCTCAGCTCTACCTTGAATGTTGGGAAGGGGCTGATGGTGAAATCCAGAGGCTCAGCTAAACAAGCAGCTGAAGTGCAGCTGCTAACAGGCGTGCCTTAACTGGGGCTTATCTTTACTGCTCTTCCTTGGCTAGGTTGTAAAGACGGGCCTTGATCAAGGGAATGACGCCGGATACCTCGTTGAATCCCAGGTAAGGAGAGGAGCTCTCGAGCAGTAATCAGCAGGTTATCAGGTATGGAAGATCTGTGTTCTGCCTTGCACAAAAGAAACCTACTCTTCACGGGCTGCTCAAGATGGTGCCTGGGGTCCTGCCTCCCCTTCTGGGAGTGGGACTGTGAAAATATCTTGTCTTAAGCAACAGAACTGTGGGTTTGGGTTGTTTCTTTTGAGAGGGTTGTTGTTTTGTTCTGTTTTTCCAAGTTTCTTCATCTCTGAAAAGAATTTATGGCCTTTTTTTTTTCATTTCTGCCTGTTTTATCTCTTTTTTTTGAGTTGAGAGTGACTAAATGAAGTTCACCATTCTACACGTTCAATAGTAGAATTTTCTGTCAGGTGTTGGGTTTTTTGCTTGTTTTTTTGATGGGACAGGTACTCTATAGGTCGGTATAGTGCTGTTTTAGTCTCACACTTTAGCACATTACTGAGGAATATGGAAGTTGCTTCTCATTCTTATAAGTTTCCAAAACTTCTCAGCTGTCACTTTTACCCATGCTCAGTTTCCTGTCATCTTTTTCCCATGAACTCTGCTTAGGCTGTTGATTCTCCATGACTCTTGCTTTGCTGTTTGTCATGTTTTCCAGTGCAGATACTTAGTGCCAGCCCGTTCTCCACCATGGACAACTGTGCCCTTCTGAATGTTCTTTTTCATCTTTTTCTTCTCTCTGCTCTTTTGCTCTGTGGATCGCTCCTATCTATCTAGCGCTGTGTCCTGGTACAGCCTGGGGGTTGGCCTGCTGGAAAGCAGCTCTGCAGAGAGGGACCAGGGTGGGCTGGGACATTTTAAGGCCCCAAGTCCTCTGGGACTGTTTGCTGCTTGTTCCTGTTCGTAGGTGCAGCCAGTGGTGAGGATGAGCAGGTCCTGAGGTGCTGCAGAGACACAGGTCCATGTGGGCCAGCACACAGAGCAGCAGCTTTGCTGGCACCCACGGAGGTGGGACCTGTGTGGAACTGCTTGGACGTGGAGCTGCTAGAGAGGGGCCAGCGCAGGGCCACGAAGGTGATGGAGGGACTGGAGCAGCCGTCGTGTGAGGAAAGACTGAGCGAGCGGGGCCTGTTGAGCCTGGAGAAGAGAAGGCTGAGAGGGATGTGAGCAACATGGACAAGTAGCTGAGGGGAGAATGTAGGGAGGAGGGGGCCAGGCTCTGCTCGGTGGTGGCCAGTGACAGGACAAGGGATAACGGGGCCAAGCTGAACCCCAGGCAGCTCCATGTCCATGTGAGGCAGAACTTCCTTGGTGTGAGGGTGCCCGACCCCTGGCACAGGCTGCCCAGAGAGGCTGTGGAGGCTCCTTCTCTGGAGATGTCCAACCCGCCTGGATGCCCCCTGTGCCCCGTGCTCTGGGTGTCCCTGCTGGAGACTGGATGATCCCTAGAGGTCCCTGCCAGCCTCAACCATGCTGTGACTCTGAAAACACAAACAGGAGTCACCTAGAACAGGGACAACCAGTGCTGCTCTCTGGCCGATCAGAATTAAGATTTGCTGGTGGTTACACACATGTGTACGTGCACACACGCACATGTCCCTCTTGGAGATGCTTGGTCTGCCAACTAGTGTCTCTCCAGCTTGCTCATGCCTGACCCTGTTATTCCTCATTTCTCCCCATTTTCTTTTGTTCTTTTCCCTCAACCGTCTTGATCCCTCTCCTTCTCTGTCATTGTCTCCTCCCTAATTAACATGTTCCTAATTACTTTTACTGGCCCCAGTTTTGCTACATCCGTACCCAAACTGGGAAATTTGTTGTTGGTGGGTAGTCTTGGCCTAACACTGCTGGCCTTGCCCTGCCCATGATTGCTCTTTCCCAGAAGCTGGCAGGACAGTCCTCGGAGTGGGAACAAGCTGCGAGTGGCTCGGAAGGCCTTGGTTGTAGCAGCATCGTGGCTATTCCCTGCCCCTTCCAGGCAGGTCCTGAGGGTTAGAGACACTCTTTTTCAGCAGCTTTGAATTATATCCTCTATGGAAAAGGACTTTGAAAGAACAGTTTCCTCCTGCCTTCTGGCAGCCTCTGTGAGAGGTGACAACGCTGAGTGGGCTGTGTTTAGCCCTGGAGGTAGCTCCATGCTCACATGCCCGGTCTGCTCTTCCATTTCTTTTCGGGTTACTGGTCTGTGCAATTGCACGGGTGCTTGTGCTGCCACTTTGCAGGATATTTGATGTGTTGAAAGTGTGACAGCTGGTAAAGGACAAACTCTCTGCTTCCCTCCCTCCTTTCTTCCAGAATTTCGGCCTGCTTGCAATGACTAAGGAATGCAGGGCACTGCTTGGCCTTTACCGTGGGCAGATACAATGCAAGAAGAACAAGTTTGGGGCACCTGAGCGAGAGATCAAGTAAGTGCAAGTATGAGATGCCCAAAGGAGCATCTGGAGACCCTCTGCTGAAAGGCTGGTGGGGCCGACCCACCTCGAGCCCTGAAAAGCAGCAAAGCAGAGATTTGCAGCTCCAGAAATCCAGTTTTGTGCAGTTCAGAGGTGTCCCTCACAAGTGAAGTCTTCTGGTATGACCTCTCTAGAAGCGAGGATGGGCAGGATCTGAAGGGGTCTGACTGGCAGCAGAAATTCAGCTATTTCTGCCTTTGAATGTGTCTCCCCTTTCTGTGTAGGACTCTGGGCGTGCTGGGAGCAGGGCTCATGGGAGCTGGAATCGCACAGGTTTCCGTGGATAAAGGGCTGAAGACCATTATGAAGGACACGGTACAGCAAGGCTTGGACAGAGGACAGCAGCAGATCTTCAAGGGGTATGTGAGCTTAAAGGAGTTCCCTTGGGTTTGCCTGACGCCTCCTTTAGCCAAAATGCTCCTCCACTTTGAGGCCATCAGCAGCTCCTGACACATCTCCTCCTTGGGGTTCTCTTTCAGTAGGTACCACAGCAACGTTTGTTTAAAGGTTTCCCTATGCAACATGCTGGGATATTGCTATAAAATAAGTGCAGGATACCCAGCCTTAGCTCCTTACGCAGGGAGACCGCCTGGTATGTGACTACTTTATTTTTAGGTTTAGCAATAGCTTATAAATATAAGGGAAGGGGAGAGCCTGTGTTGGAACACATTGGTCAGACCTCTTAAAAGCTGGATTTGTCTCCTCCCTGCTTCTTGCTCGACAGTGTAGTGCTCAGCTGCCCACACTAGGGATTGTAGATGATTGACCTTCAGACTAAAGCACCAAGAGTTGTGTCTGCATGGAAAGAGAGACCAACAGGCTCCACTTGTCTTGCTGGCTGGGAGATGGTGTTTGGGTCCCGGCCTCAGGAGCCAAAGGGTGGCCTTGGTGCCCATGTGGAGCCCTGATGGAGCTGTCCTTCCCTAGGCTCAACGGCAAGGTGAAGAAGAAGAGTTTGACATCGTTTGAGAGGGACTCGCTTCTCAGCAACCTGACGAGCCAGCTGGACTACAAAGGCTTCGAGAAAGCAGACATGGTGATCGAGGCTGTGTTTGAGGACATCAACGTCAAGCACAAAGTGCTGAAGGAAGTTGAGGCTGTGAGTGTCAGCCCGAGCAGCGTGTGCTCTGTGGGGCCCTGTCTCGCCCTGCTGGGGTTTTCTCATCTCCTCTGTGCTGCAGTTCAGTGCTCAGGACTCGTTACCAAGTCAGTATAGGGCTGGGTGCCAAGGGCAGTTGTCCTATCCACTTCTGACACTCCCAGACTCCTGGGAACCGCTCCAAAAACCTTTCCATTTGAGCGCTTTGATGTGACAGGTCTGTCCTTCTGTAGCTCCACGATGTGCAGTGCTTTCCCTGCTGCCCCTCACTTGCTGCTACTGCTTTTCCTATGCAAGAGTGCCCTGGAGGCAGTGGCAGTGTGAGGGAACCAGCCTGAGCTCCTCTCTGGAGTCCCTCCTCGCAGGGCTGTGTGGCAATGAGCTGGCAGAACCATGGTGCATGGTCACACACCTGGAGAGAGGTCGGTGTAGCTGACACATCGGGTCTAACTGCCCTGGACCACTGGCCCAGGACGAGTTTCCCATGCGGATGCCCTGACGGATCCAGAGGCTGCTCTCGTTCGTTACGGCCTTGCCAAACGCTGGGGTGCTCGTGCTGTTCTCTTGTGCATCACAGGCCAGCTCTGGCCTTGGATGCTTAAAGTATCCCTCTCCCTTCCTCCCCAGGTGATCCCCGCTCACTGTATCTTTGCCACTAACACGTCTGCTCTCCCGATCAGCAAAATCGCTGCCGCCAGCAAGAGGCCGGAGAAGGTGAGTGCCTGGTGCTCCGAGTCTGCTCCGTGCGGAGCTGCCCGCTAGTGCCGAGTGGCTTTGCTGTGGATGAGGGCTGGGGCCATCGTCTTCCTCCTCGGAACACGGAGCAGCTCGACGGCTGCCTCCAGCGCGAGTTTTGAGCACGAGTTTGTCATCCTTGGATAGGTACAAAGGGCATGAAAGGGGATTTGTCCCAAGGGAGATGTGGGTGCAGCAGGGAGATCAGCGCTTCGGGAAGTGTTAACACACGGATGAGGCAAGGAGCTGTGGGGGGACTCGAGCTGAGGAAAGGCGTTTGGCATGGGGTTGAGAGGAGGCAGCTGCACGGTTTGGTAGCGGCATCCGCGACTGCAGAGTCACCTGGGAGCAGCTGAGCATCAGCCTGGGCAGCCTGGATACAGCGGATCCATTGGGGGAAATGCTGGATGCCTGAGGGGAAATGCTTTCCCCTGACTTGGGGAATGCGTTTTGCCTGCCTGGGGCCAGCAGGCTGCAAAAATGCAGCCAGAGAGAGCATGTCCCATGGCAGGGATGATCCCGCGGCCGGGACGGATCCAGCGGCAGGGACGATCCCGCGACGGGGATGGATCCCATGACAGGGATGGTTCTGCAGCAAGGATGATCCCGTGGCAGGGAAATGAGTTAACTGCTGTATTTTCTTTCAGCAATTTTGCAATTTGAAAGTTTTCTGCAGGGTTTCTCTGCCTCGGGTAGAGCTTAGAGCCAAGCGTAGCTTCTGGGAAGCACGAAGTCACATCTTGCTTGCATGGCTGTGCTAGGAAGATCAGGCATTTAAATAGGTTTTTAATGAGATCAGATATTTAAAGATCAGGTATTTAAATGTGGCAGCGTGGTGAAGTCTCGAGGCCTGTGCTGGCCCCCCTCCTCCTGCAGCTGGGCACTTCGCTTTCCCAGCCCGTTCACTCCGATTTAACTCTCCCTTCCTCCCTAGGTGGTGGGGATGCACTACTTCTCCCCCGTGGACAAAATGCAGCTGCTGGAAATCATCACCGGAGACAAAACATCCAATGACACAGCTGCCTCTGCAGTTGCCCTTGGGCTCAAACAGGGCAAGATTGTCATCGTGGTAAAGGTGAGGGCTGAAGAGAACAGCCTGGGCAGGACTCCCAACC